TTAATAAGACGTGATTTTTCTCTGAAAATAGCCATAAGTCTTTCCCACAGGACATGCAATTCATCCAGACGGTTTTTGATAATCTCCGTTGTGTAGTGCCCCTGACCAATCATTGCTTCTCACGCAGAATCCAGAGCTGACAGTGTTTCAGCATGAACTGTTACTTCGAACTCAAACACTTGATGTTTCTGTTTTTTCGGCTGAAGATTACTGAGTTCTTTAAAATCCTCATTTGCATATGTTTGCAGTTTTTCATTAATCCAATGCTCAAGTTCATCGGCATCTCTCTTAAAATATTGATATCTTTCAAGCATGTCCAGAAACTTAGATATGGTTCTGGCGAACTCATCATTAAGAGATACAGCGACTTTATGAGAAGTAGAAGGTTTGTAAGGCGATTTACTGTGACCAGAACATTCGCGACTACCTTGTCGTAATCTTTCTAATTCCATTTCTTTCTCTTTTTGGACTATGCGCAGTTTCGCTAGCTCCAATTCTACCATATAGTGTGATTTATTCTCGTTGCTTCCAGGGAAATCAGCTTCATTACTCTTTTCTAACTGTGGAGTTAACGACGGCATAGTTTCATAACTTTCTTCTGCCATACTGTTCGAAACTTTGTAGGATTATTTTTGTCCTACAGATTTAGTCCTTCCTCAATACTGACGACACAGAGTCTTGGCTTAACTATAGTTAAAAACAGAATGACTTGACTTAAACTTTATCTGTTTCTAAAACATAAAATAAATCACACAATTACACCAAGAAAAATATACAAATCCACTGTCATTCAAAAAAGGACAAAAATGTACCGAACAGTATTGAGGTAACGGACAAAATGAACAGTTAATTAATTACATGTACACACAAATAAAGTGACAGACAACAAAGAACGCTCAAGGCCATATCACGTGGTGTGAGTTACATTAAATTGACCAATAATCGCGACAAGAAGGTCACATCATATTGATTAACTGTCTATCATATAGTCTATCTATCTGTCGCGATTAACAGGGCCCTCTGTGGGAATAGAAGTTATGATGTTGGTTCATTTTGCACCGCGTGGATATGAATTATCGCAAGTTGAAAGGTTATCTCTAAGTGAATTTAATACGTGACCGCGCTGATTGGTGCAGTGTAATGTGGGTTATGTGGATTCAACGCAAAAAAATATCTCAACCTTATTAATATTATGTCTGCTTAACCTCTCCCAGTTTACTAGCTCGCTAGTTTTCTAGCCGGTTTCAAGCTCAGGCAAAGAGGAGGGCTGGGCACGAATCTAGTGACCCTACCTCACAAAACCAATCAATCTGCTAGAGAAACTTCAATGCACAGTAAAAATATTAAAAATACAGAAAAATATAAAAACAAACTTATTCTTCGCCCGAATTAGAGAGGCGAAGCGACATAGCCAGCAGGTGAAGGCCTTCGGAATGCGGTCAGTCAGCCAACGTGTCTTCTCTCGGCTACAGTAGGAGTAAAAATGGGGAAGCGGAATGCATTTACTATGCAAGGCTGTCTAGGTAGCCAAAGATATGAGAGATACGGTATGGAAGTGCTGGGAATCTGCGACAGTAGATGGAATGGATGTGGACCGTCATAATTGTTAACTGGTGAGTAAGTAATCTGCTCCGGTCACCCAGACGACAACCATCAACACACTGAGGCAGTGAGTGTATATTATAGTGTGACCAATAGCAGCCATAGCCCTCATGTAGTGGGAACCAATTCCCTCACGCAGGATAATGACAGTAAGATTCAACTCAAGAGGAAGGAAGGCTACTATCATCTAATGCTACGTACCTACAAACAACGCAGGACGAGAGAAGAAGGAAGATTTTTGCAGATAATTACAAACAGTGATGGACAACATCCCCAATGAAGACATCGAAATCCTTATGGGCGATGTGAATGCCAAACTGGGAGGAGACAACACAGGAAGGGGACTCATCATATGTCTAGGGGGTCTCGTTCGGCCGAATGAGCGAGAACGGAGAATTTTTCTCGGACTTCTGCGCTTTCAGTGATGTGGTGATTGACGGCAGCGTGTACGAGAACAAGGATATAATCAAGGCAGCATGGATTTCGCCTGAGTGAGGGACACATCACAAGCCAGATTTACTTCATCTCAATAATGCTCAAGGAAGCGGAGACGTATCCCACTGGACACAAAGCCAAGAAGGGGAGCAGGTCGGGGCTCAGACCGCCACTCAGCCCGAAGGACTCCTAAGGTGAATCGGAAATCCTCGAAAACAACTGAAGACAGGCCACAATTCAAGTTCAACATTCAGAAACTGGAGGATAAAACTACAAGGGATACCTTTACTACAGATATCAGAGCAAAGTCAGAGACACTGCGTGGCATCACTGAGGAAATCTGCGTGGAAGAGCATTGTAACTCTCTGAAGGTGATGTTCAAGGGGATGTGTACAACTGTTCTGGGGAGAAGGAAGAGACAAGACAAGAAGTGGCTATCAATGGACACTTACCTGGAAGTTAATAGAAGATAGGAGGATGGTGAAAGGGGATATAACTCAGTTTAAAGATGGACAACAGTAGGACAAACTAAGTTCAATGTACACTGTACTGAATAAAGAGGTGAAGAAGAGTGCTAGGAAAGATAGAAGACAGTTCTACGACACACTAGCTGGCAATTGAAGCAGGACAGGCAGGTCTCAGGTAAAAGAGACCTCGGGACATTATATGGGGTAACCAGATATCTATCCAGTGAGAGATCAACCCAGACAATGATGCCAATAAAAGATGTTCAATGGAACCTGATTACCAAAGAGGATGAACAAATAAAAATTATGGTCCAAACACTTGAAAGGACGGTTGAGTCGACCACCGAATGCGAGTAATTCTCGCGTATAAGTCACATAGAATACTGTCTCTTCCCATACCTTAACATATATTTTGAGCGTAAAGCTCAGAACCATCTCTCGGGGTGGGTATTTCGATCTGACAACTTATAATTTCTAGGAAGCGTACTTTACCTCAGCAGAGGCCGGGTCTACTCAATATCCCTCAACTTTAACATGACGCTTCAAAGCCTGAAAAGGCGCATATTTCACCTTCTCGAGCAGCTAGGGCCTGCCAGTGACGGACAGTGTCTTGGACCGTTCATTGGATCCTAATCCATGAGTTTTATTTATATTTCAAAGGCTGTGGGTCATTTTGGCGAACGACAGGCCCTAATTTCACCAGTATTCATGACACCAGTCATAGCTACATGTCAATGCTACTATCCTAGCAGAACCGGAACCCACCGCGCAATTGTTTTTTTTTTTTTTTTTGATTTACAGCTTGATTTCCACACCGTATTTTCAGTACAAGTGTGGAACTTTCAGCATGGATATCGGTTGCCCAAATTCAGGCATACCATAGATATCGGGTGTGCGCCGGCAGGGGTTCGAACCCCGGACCATGTGCATGGTCGGCGAGAGTCCTAACCACTGTGCCACCGACGCAATTAACGA